GCAGTCTTCTGTACTACATCGAACGTTCCAATGCCCAGAGCTAATCAGATTACCTCTTCGGCACAAGCTCAGCAAGCCGGTCATGTTGATGCTGTCAATCAAGTATTGATTAATGCTGGAGACAAACGTGGAGCTCCAACACTCACTGGCATAACTCAGATTCACTCGGACGGATTAAGTAATTCGGAATCTGGTCTGCAGTCTCCTCGCTTGCCTCCAAAATTAAAGGATTCGGTTAGTCCTGCTGAATATTTTGATAGCTTCTTCATTCGTGTTATTTTATTAGACGCAGCTCATTAAATGCCATTTCTATTCATAAATCGTGCACCTGTTCTAATAACTTATACTAATTTGGAATAACATAATATTTTTGCGTATTAATGTATTACTACTAAATTCATTTATTATTGGCCTTGTTTATTTTGAGCGGTTTTATTGCACTCAATACTCGGCCAATGTGCACATATCATGTGGCAAGGCTGTACAACACTATAATATGGTCTTGTGTTGATTTTGCCTCTGGGAAATTAAGTACGTTAAATATATCTCTTGTCATATGAGTACTGTAAAATGGTCTCAATTGCTGCTCGATCTTCACCAATTAACAATTTATCGTGCTTTATACCGATATTTTCCTCGATCTCTATATGGCTTCGACGTAGTCTTGATCTGATCGACAATTTTGTGATACAAACAGAAGTAGACGTCCGTGCACTATCAGCTGGTAATAAATATACTTTATCATGCATAGCGAAATTTTATTCGTTTTATTAAAAGAACTTCATATATAATCACGCTTTGTATTGATTACATTTTGATCTGAAACAAAAAGGTCTTCTGTTGAAGTTGTTTGACCTTGTTTTCGCTACGTGGTCATATTGGTAGGTATATTTAGAGGAACGCACATAGTCCGGAGTCTATTGTATGCATGATAATTTCCAAAGTCGGACCGTGGATGTGGTACATTCGCAGACGTTTAGCCGGCATCGTCAGTGAGCATTGTCTGTCTTATCAACATACTACAACTCGTCAAAAGAGACAAATAAAGCCGATCCCTTGACCAAACATGTGCTAAACAGTTATGATATCTCTCCTTCCCTAGGCTATTCACATTTCCTATATCCTCATATCACGCCTTCATTGTCATTATTTTTTACCGTACTTATTTACGTATAGTGTGGGGTGCCCTTTTTAACGGCATTCATGAGAACCCTCCACACTCCACACTGGTGTTCTAACTCCCCCTCCAGCATTGTGCTAGGAATGTTATTCAGATTCTGCCATATTGTTACGCAGTCCTCTAGGTCTTATCAGAGTCTCTATTGCTCCAAAGAATCAGTCTGCTATCTCGCTGGTTGAAGTAGTTCACTCGAGGCGTTATTACCCCTCCCCTGCATCTAGGTAACTAATTCGAGGCTTAAGCCTCTGAGTATGTTTTATGGTCAAGCCTTTGCTACATGGACCATGTCTCTGGTAAAACCTACTGTCAGCCAACTAGCTCCAGTCTCCGCCGTGTCTATCCTGTTTCTATCCCTAATACCAAGTCTATGACCTATGCCCTAGTCTCTTGTGTAGAAACCCACAAATGTTGTGGTACTGTTTGCTTTGATTCGGTTTAATGTTAAACCACAACGTTTGCGGGTTGGCACACAAGAGACTAGAGCATAGAAAGTAACGGACTTGGTATTATGGATAGAAACAGGATAGACACGACGGAGACTGGAGTTAGTTGGCTGACAGTAGGTTTTACCAGAGACGTGGTCCATGTAGCGAAGGCTTTACCATGAGACTTACTCAGAGGCTTTAGCCTCGAATTAGTCACCCAGACGTTGGGGAGGGGTAATAACGCCTTAAATAGCACAGATAGGGTGGCAGGGGTAGATTGAAATGCTTAAACTAGGGAGATAGCAGACGGATTTTTTGGGGCAAGAAGGAGACTGATAAGACCTATGGAAGGAGGACTACGTAACAATATGGCAAACTAATCAACATTCCCAGCATAATGGTGAAGGGAGTGAGAACGCCAGTTTGGAGAGTTTTCATGAATGCGGCTCAAAAGGGCACACCACACTACATCTAAATAAGTACGGTAAAAAATGGTGACAGTGGAGGCGTGATATGAAGATATAGGAAATGTGAATACCCAAAGGCAGAAGGAGAGATATCACAACTATTTAGCACACGTTTGGTCAAAGGATCGGTTTCACTTGCCTTTTTGACGGGTTTTAGTATGGTGATAAGAATGGCAAAGCTCACTGACGATGCAGGCGAAACGTCTGGGAATATACGACGTCCACGGTCCGACTTTGGAAATTATCATGCATACAATGGACTTCGGACTATGTGCGTTCCTCTGAGTCTTCCTACCAATATGACCAAGTTGTGAAAACAACTTCTATACAACGAAAGAAGACTGCAACCACGCAAAAGGCCACACCATCTTGGTTTTCATATCTTTGGATAAAAAGATCTTCTGTCTGCTAATTTTAGAAACTTTATTTTTATGGTAACGACAAATTTAATTACCAAGTTCATGAGTGATTAAATGTCAATGGAACTTCCAATTCAAATGAAAGAGCCTTGTAAGTTATTCTTTTCTGAAACTGAACAAAGATAATCTGAGTACCGTTGCTTGAGTTAAACACGAAGTTTTGGACACAATGTACTGTGATATTGATGATTTTGTGCCTTTCATTAGCTTTCCCATAATCTCCTTCCATAAACCTAGCAAAGTTATTTAGCAAGGATTGGTTGTTTTATTATGTAGACCTCTAATTAAGCCGTGAGTTTTTTTGTTAAAATATGAGCTAAACACGGCCCCATAGCTAAATTTTATGGTTGTCCATATTATTTAGACACCACAAGCAATGTATACAACTCCAGCTGTTAATCAAAACTATAGTCGTTCAATATAAAATTAATCCTTTTTATTTTCAATTCTAATAAGAGTAATTCTAAGTCTCCTTATCTTACTTTAATTTTTTGGCTTTTTTCTAGTGTCATATTACTTCCAGAAGCCTCAGTTTAGCTAAATTCTTCTATGCTCTGCAATTATTAAGTATAAGGCCTTTATGAGTTATTTACAAAGTTTTTAGTCAGTTGCTGTTTTTGCTTGCATACTTTTATTTAGACTTCCTTTGAAACAATAATTTCGAAGTGGAATTAGCTGCAATAGGCTCCCGGGGTTTACGAGACACTGTTTTTGAATCTTTAACGTCTATATTGGCAAAACCTTTTATCATAATAAAAACATTACTCAGTGATTGTAAAATAGGCTATATCGACAGGTCACGGATTGCGGATCATCTTGATCTTAAAGGACACAGATAAGTGACACGGTGAAAAGACATACGAGTAGTCTACTGAGTGGAAAGATAGGGGCCGTATTTAGCTCGTTAAATAAACTAAATGGCAAAATTGAAAAATATGGGGTATAGGAAAACTATTAGTTCCTGGTGAGCCAGCTTGAAAAGGGGGAATTTATGGAGCCCTCACAAGAAAGCTTAGATTGGTATGACATGATATATATATATATATATTCATCGCTTCTATTTTTACCTATAAAAGTTAGCCCTTGCTATTTAGGACAATAATAATATGCTACCAAATTACCTTATTGAAATATTAAATTTCTGTTAGATCATGGTTTTACGGTACATTCGCATCTTTTTCCTTTGTTTTATCCCCACTGTGATACAGGAGAGAATGCTGCATGTTCAACGATGGGTCAACAATTTACCGTGGGGAGAAATAAATATAACTAGCGCTGCATCAAGCAGTGGGTCAGTCGGTGTGGGATGCGGTGAGAGCAGCAGTTCCAGCACCTCTGGTGTTGGCGGAAGTTGCAGCGAGAATACAGCCCCTGGGCCTTCGGCCTCTTCTGGTCAGGGTTCGTCTGGCTGCTGTAGCCTCATGTGTCCTGGAATTTGCTCGGCTGGAGGCTTGTTATTAGGCGGCCTTCCTGCTCACCTGGAGCCACCTGAGGGAACAGAAGGCGAACGAACTCCACCTCCAGGTCGTCTTTATATGTCTCGGCTTCCGCTTGGACCCGAGGAATTAGCTGTATTTGATCGGCGTTATAAACCGTCTCAGCATCACCATCATCACCACCCACAGCAACAAAACATTCAAAACAACATCAACAGTGGCCATCAGCCCCAACAACAGGCGCAACAATCTACCGGTCTTCATGCAAATGTGGTTGTTCGAGCTACTGGCCCGAACGCCAGTGTTTCGGCTGCCCCAAGTTCTCAGCCCTGTCCTGGATTCCCCCCTTATCCCCCTCCACATCCACAAACTTACGCACAGGCCTGTTGTTATGGTGATCACTATCAACACGCGCATGCTGGTGCAGACTATCAATGTCATCAATCCCGCCAGCCAGCAACTCCAGCCGCAGCGGCCCAGGCTGAGGATCAAGTCTACATAAACGGTACTGGCGTCGGAAAAGCAGACGGAGCAGGAGGCAGTTGCTCGGCTAACCGTCTTTTCACCGATTGGGAAACCAGGTTGGTGGTTCAGCTATTCGCCGAGTTTTTCACGCCTCGAAATTCTGCTGCAGCTGCCGAAGCTGCCAAAGTCACCAGCCTAGGGGGAGGGATTGGCGGTGGTGGTTACGCTGAGCCAACTTCTCGACAGATTATCTCTGGCTCGCCAGGCCACAAAGCTCTGGCAGCTTCTGCCCGGAATCCCCATCCGCAACCACAATTGCCATCACTTGCTGAGGTGCGCCTCCGGCTAGCCACGTCTCGTCTGAAGGAAACTAGAAGCGCCGTCTCTGTACGTTCAAAAATCAAACGCCTTCTGGCCACTGGTGCTTGGGCTGAATTTAAATGACTTCTTTTTCCGCTCTGCTTCCCTTCTTTTACGATCGCCTATAATCCATGCCTAAAATTATCATCCAAGTCCTCTGCCTGTTATTCTCAGTCATCAGGGTCCACCCTCTGTCTCTGCGTTTTCAATATTTTGTACAGTTTGTCTCAGAGGACAAATTATCAGCCTTTATACACACCATCCAACCTATACACATATACATAGGGCAATTATATATATATCGTTTCCAGGCCTACAATTATTCTCGTTTTCCTGGTCAGCTAAATGCATAATTGAAACAGGATGGTCTGTTTTACGAGTAGCCCGGTACTGCATTCCAGTTACCTGGCCTGGACAGACTTGAAGCTGACATTCCCTCGAGTATATTTATTGTCTTCACATGTTCTCGCCATCAAACGCGACTCTATATCTCTTACTTTGTTCGAGCTCCGGATTTGCTCTCTTCTGATGCATCCGAATTTCCAGTTTATCAATGAAATAATTCTGACATCTATGTGCATCACTTTAATATGCCATTCACTCTACCTGCATTATACCCAACAAATACCATTAAATGCATTTTCAGGATGGTCCTTCCAACCCCTTAAAATCTCCTGTTCTCTGCTTTCATCCTCTCTCCATAAGCAATGGGTGATCTAGAGCAGTTTATATTTCTTCATGTTTGTACTTTTGTTTGCATTTGTTTGCGTTTGCGCCTACTTCCGTAGGACCTCCACATTGTAATTTATCAACGTGACTACCTCTGTGTGGCAATGGGCAAACGTGTGAGGGCCTCTTATCACATGTAAAGGAGCAGATATGCCGAATCCACTTTCCATCTGGCTTTTTTCTCTCATCTGCCCAAATCCCAGCAAGTAGGCGTGTTTTTGTCTTTCACGAACCATGAGCATTTACGAGCAGGCATGTTGGAATACTAGCGAGTCTCCCAGCCAGTCGGCGCTTCTCGCATTCAAACTCTTTATCGCAGTATTTGCACTATTTTTGTTTGCTTTGTACCATATGTTCATCTTCAAAAATAGTTGGGATTGATGAATATCCTAAAAGTAAATATATTTACTCTGCTTTATTTTCCGGTTTCGGGTAACTTCCTTTCTCTTGGGTGACAAGAACTTAACCAGTGGCGAGATATCAGTCCCTATGGTCTTTCATTCGTTCTTCACTTATGAAATATATTAACACTTAGGTTTTGACCTGATAAACAACTGGTAGTTAAATTTCCATAGTGCTGTACTCACAACCGGTCCGATTGCGATTGATCG